CTGTCCATAAGTTGGTCAGCTTTTGCATATAAATTAGATGAGGCCGAGGTGACAGAAACCAAAAAGCAAAAGGAAATTCAAGGCTATGTGATACCATCGGAGCCAGTCAAAGCTTTTTCATGAAGGCAGGAACTGAATGTCAGATTCTTATGAGACTCCAACAAGATGGGAAATATTTAAATACTAGAGGCCTGATGCATAAAAATTCATACACTGGAGGGGGGTGCCCAACCTGCCCCCTCTCACAGTCCAGGAGTCCTTAGGAGTGGGAGGCAACTTAGTGGTCAGGGGAAGGCGATATTCCTATTATATCTCTGCTGCTGCCACTGCCAGCAGCACAAGCCTCACCCAGCCCTGGTTACCTGAGTCTAGGGAGGCCCTGGGCAGTTGGACAGCCAACATCTGAGGCTTGCCTGCATTTTGGGCCAGCCTTGGCTGGCTCAGAGGCTGAGGGAACTGGGGGACTCCAGAGGCTTGCACACAGAGCAGCTGGATCTGCCTGGGAGCCTGTCACTCCAGCAGGGTTGAGGGGACTGTGCACTGCCATCTTGTGGTTGTGGACCCCGCCATATTTAAGGGTGTGGCAGTCATTAGCATACTCCCTCTTTATTAGATAGGATCCTCTGGATTTGGAGATGGTGACATAGAACGAAGCCATTCAGTACAGTGATGTGAGGAGCAGGGTGCTGTGTGTGAAGCACGGAGCCTACCCCACGCCAAGGGTTCCAGTGACAGCAGACGCTATTATATCTACTGGAGCTGAAAACAGTTTGTATAGGCACGTGTGTGCGCTTCGAGGTAGATGGAAAAATACTCAGCATTAATAAACTCCGCAGTTCCCAAATAAATGCAATTCTGCTGAGCAAGCTCCGTCCTGGAAGAGTTTGCTTAAGCCGGAGAGGAGTTTCTAAAAGCACCATTTCCGAGGGGAAAGTGGCAGGTAGGTCATGCAGATTTAACAAGAGTCCTTTTTACGTGGGCGGTGAGAGATAGTAGCTCTGGGACACACAAGGAGCTGCCAGTCCCCACAGCAGCCCCGAGACGCCACTGAACTTGAAATTCCTCACCCAGCACTCCCCCTTTCTCCCACACCAGCCAAGTGAGCAGCCATCTGATGTTGGCTCAGGCCCTGGGACATAGCTCTCTCTGCCTCTTGCCAGCTGAGAAACGGTTTGTTTCCCTTCCCAACAGGGCGGCATTCTTCTTGCAGCTCTCCGTGGCCATTCAGTGTTTCCCAGCTCAGTCTCATGCCAGTGCTCCTTCCCAGGGGCAGGAAGTGGCAGATGCCGGGGGAATTGTCATGTAGAGCAGCAGATTCATTCGCACCAGAGCTCCCACAAACCCACTGCTGGAGGCAATGACCTTCTTTAAGTGGCTTCTGGCCTGCAGAGGCATTTTCCTAATCCCGAAAGCTTTTAGATGCGCTGCTAGATTCTTAACTTCTCTGGGAGAATTGTCATGTCATGAACTCAGTGGGGGAGGAAAGGACTGCTGGATGGAACTGACATGTTTAAGCCAGGGATGTAGAGAGCGTATTGGGGTCTATGAGGGCCTCATTGTTCTCCCTTAGGTACGCCCCTCTTCATCTGTGTGATTCCTGTTCCTGCCAATGAAATGGGTCCCATTCAAGACCTCACCCCAAGGCCAGCCCTAGGGAAGCCCTGTAGCCCAAATCATGATCCCCCTTTATTGGATTATCTGCTGCAGTGATTATCTGTAATAGCCCATTTAGCACTCTTGTTCCCGCAACAAAGTCTGTGCTCCCGTTGCGTGTGGCATTGTGCCGGCAACATAGAAGTCCTCCATACGCAATCTTCAGGTTCCACTCGGTACTTAAGGGGAAAACCAGTCATTGTTTTAATTCGTTAATAAATTAACTTTCATTGCAAAACCTGCAGGGATTTCTGTCTCCCAGCCTTACATTTTCTTCCCATTTCGCCTTTAATGCCGTAAGCACCACCACCTCCCACTGTGTGTTTAATTACTGTACTGATTGCTTACTTTGTGTGCTACATGATGTGGAAAAAACACAAAACTTAAAAGCAAAAGCACTCTCCCTGCCATCCCTAGGGGTAGAGACTACAGCCCTTAAACATATAAGAAAACACATTTAACTCTACAGATAACTAGTGCCAGATGAGCGGTCTGGATAATTGCACAAACCCTGTGGTCCCAAGTGCAATCTCTATCCCCTCTGCCAGCAACGGACTCCCTTGACCTGAGACCTGGGCCTTTAGTCATGTGCTTGGAAGAGCCTCCCTTAGCACCATCTTTGTTCGTTTTAAGCCTAATATTCCTTTATGTTTCAGGCCTCTCTTTTAGAAAAGCTTCTCTATTCATGTATTTTTTTCTCTTTTCTTCCCCTCCATCCTGGTGGGTTTTCTTTACCTTGCCCAATATCTGTAATTTTAAGTGAGCAGGGCTTTATGGGAACCATATGGTCAAATGCTCAGGTGAATTCAAAGATTGCAAATATATTGATAAGTACAGTTTATGTATCTACTAGAGGCCTGGTGTAAAAAGTTGTGCACTTAAGGAGGTCCCTCAACCCGGCCTGTGCCCTCTTGCAGTCTGGGAACTCTCAGGGGATGTCTGACTGATGGCTTAGGCTTGCTTCCCCTGGGGAGAGGACCTAAACTGGCAGTTGGACATCCTTAACACTGCTCTGGAGTCAGAAGATGCTCCTAATACTGCCACTACACTCACCTGGCTGAGCAGCACTCCCCCCTGTGGGAGTGCACTGACCACCAGTGGGCAGCTCCTGTGTTGAGCATCTGCCTCCTGGTGGTCACTGCATGTCATGGCAGCCAGTCATTCCGCCAGTTGGTTGATTTGTATATTTGCCTTTTATTATATAGGATTACTATATAGGATAGAAATATTAAGCCCAACATTCCATTACTTTTTATTATATTCAGTTACTTGACTAATGTAATTTTCTTTTAATTTAGTCAAGTTATTTTGAGGGATAAGCAGGTGCATTTTAAATTAATTCTGAGGTTCTCTGAGCCATGGAAATAGGAAACCAGAGTGTGCTAAGCCTGACAATCTCTGTTCCCTTGCAAATTGGGTGTTTGCAGAGGCATTTACCTGGGTCTCTGAACCTCTGATAGATGGTGATGTGATGGGGAAAGCAGTGGGTAGAATGGGAGGTAACCACTGGAGACAGTAGTTGTCAGATGAAACTAATTGATTGTAATTGCTTTGCCATCACATTGCTCTTGTAGCCTGTAGCTTGTTAAAACCACTGATTATGAAAGAGGGATCTCACTTTTTATGCTGTAGGTCATGTTAATGAAGCGCTGTTCTTAGAGAAATGATCAGTGGATATCAATAAATGGATAATAGAAATTAAAGGAAAACTTAATTAACTTGATCATGAGTTACTATACTTCAGCAGTCACAGTAGCAGTCAACTGTGTGGTGTTCCCTACAGAATCTTTTGCTTGGAGCTCTTGAATTTTAAGTATTTCCCAAGGAAAGAGAGATTGAGCCTGTGAAACTATTTATCACATACTGTCTAAATAACAAATCACCCTGTAGATTTATCTTGGAAAACAGAAGATATGCCTGTTTTACAGTGCCTTTATTTTGTTACAAAGTATTAATGGGCAGGTATTTTAAAATGGAAAAAAATAAGTTCCCATTGTGTCACCAAGAAAGGGTATCAGAAATGGGTTCTTCAAAGTTCACGGAATATGAGCAGTATATGAGTGAGCATCTGTCAGAATCTGAAGGTAATATTTATTGTTTCAATATTCATCAATGTTAAAATGAGTATACTAAAATGATAACATGAATGTGAAATTATATCTAACATTTGTTGTAGGGTGTGCATTAATGTTCATACGATTGTAACGATCATGTTTTTCATCGTGGCATTTAGACTGTTAGTGATGTTAGAGTGATTGCATTTACTGAACATGTTTTTACTAAGCACCAGTTCCCATTAAGGCTGAGGCTCAGTCTGGCCTCAAGGAACTCACAGACAAAAGAAACAAATATGAGCAAATGGTTGCTTATAGCGTTAAACACCATGATGCCAGGGCCAAAAGGTGCTAGAGGAGAAAATGACTAGCACGCTGAAGGATTTCTTGGGGCTTCCAGAAAGTAAAGATGATCTAGAAGAGGAAGCAGAGTGATAGTTCCTGGTATTTAGGGAAATAAAATAATATAAATTAAGTTGTGTGTTTTAGGGTGCAAGAAGATGGGATGAGGCAAAAGTCCATATAGCCTATGTCTGTCTTTGCTCTGGTAAGGGGTTTTGAGTTACTCCTATGGCATGGGGCTCCCGGAGGGGTTTTGAATGTTGGGAGACATCAGTGAATCTCCTTTGAGGACAATCTCTGCCCCCTCAGTGTGGGGATGGCCAGGAATGGCTCATTGTACCCCCCATGAGTAAGCAGGTACAATTGCCTATGCTGTTGAATATTAGTGTTAATGTAGGTCTATGAAAAGGACATTAAAAGAGCTCAAAAGCAGAATCATTTTTCATCTTTGGCTTCTAAAATATATTTTTCTGAATGTGAGATTTGTGCTAATACAACACTTGTTTCTGAAAATGTGAAACTAGAATGTCTACACGTGATAACAGAGTCTGTGTCTAGCAGACAGCACATATGTATGGCTAGTTTTGTGTTTAGGAAGTAGATGTAGATGTGTTGCTTAATTGGAAAAAAAAAAGTAAGTAATTTTGATTTTAAAGTGCATGTTTTAAGATAATGCTAAAAAAAAAATGGCAATAATTTGGTTCTGTTAAATAATCACCAGAAAACATTTTCACATTAAAGATTCTGTTTTAGAATTTGGAACATTTGCATTTTAATTACATAACAAAAGGATGAAGTGAAGGGATAATTGGCTTGGCTATTAGCCAATTACAGCTATAACTGAAAAACAAAAATAAACAGTCAAAAAACCCTCACAGAAACTGACAATGGTTTCCACAAACAGTGACAATAGACACTGATCAGATGTTTGATGACATTAAGCAACACTAAATGGACGAGGACATTGTTTCAGTCCAGCATACAATGCGTTTGTTAAAACTGAAATTAATGAGAGCAGATTGGAGAAGTTTGAAGGGTCATTCAGTTTTCACAGCCAATGCATCCTCAGATAAGGCTTGTCTCAGTGCTCCCAGTTGTTACAATCTGATGGAGAAATAAGGCAACCCACTGCAGTGGTTGTCAAAGTCTGTCAGGGCTGCTATCACAATACCAAAGACAGGATTACTTATAATGAACAACATAGATTTATTTCTCATAGTCCTGGAGGCTGGGAAGTCCAAGGTCAAGGGAAGTTCCCCGTTCATAGAAGGCCATCTTCTCGCTGTGTCTTCATGTGACTGAATGGGCAAAGAACGTCTTGGAGATCTAGTCATGACCTCATCTCTGCCAAAGGCCCTCGCTTCCTAATGCCATTACATGGGGATTACGTTTAACTACATGAATTTGGAGGGGGTCACATCCAATTGCATTTTTTTCATTACAAGGGAGGTTTCATCCGGTCTGTCTAGCATTCCCAAGGTCAGTCAGTGCCAGGAGAGGGCCTCCATGTGGAGATTCAGACCAGTGACAGGAGCCAGGTGTCAGAATGCACCACTGACCGCACGGCTCTGTGTGCTTCCCTTGCAGACACGACCACCTATGCCACTGAGCGGTCCGAGCACTTCAAGCCCTGCCGGGACAAGGACCTGGCCTACTGTCTCAATGACGGCGAGTGCTTCGTGATCGAAACCCTGACTGGATCCCACAAACACTGTCGGTAAGCCATGCGGCCCCTGGCCCAGGGGCAGGCCCTCTGAGAGGCCTGGCAGTGGGAGGGCAGGTGCAGGTCCTTGAATATACAATGTTCAAATGGTGGAATCAAGAGTCTTAATAGGAGAAGGGAGAAGGCTGCTATCTTATGTATTTGAGGAAGATCAAGCTGAATAAAAGTAGGCAAGATCTGATTTTTACCTGATTTGCTTTAAGGACTACCAACCTGGTAGGGATAATGGTTCACTCCCTTTAGCGGCCTATGTTTTTGTGTGGGTCTTAGGCACATGTGCCCCCACTCGGAGGAATTCCTTCTTGGAAACCTGCAGACCGTGGCAGGACAGAGAGACCTGCTCCTCTGAGACTCGGCGTCTCAGTGTCTGCTGTGCACCAAACCCCAGAGACTGCCACTATGTCTGGGAAACGGGTCTTCCTTTGCTTCTCCCCAGTTTATCCATTTCCATACGTCCCCCGCACCTCTGCTGGTGAAACGCCCCCCAGCAGGCGCTTGCAAATGGAATCACCCTTCTGCTTCGGCCCTGGTAGAGAACTACTTAGGGGGAATTCTCAGTGGAGATCAGGAAGGTGTTTAATTGGGTTTTCAGAGACATGAGGTTATGTAACCACTAAAAATAAGAACAAGTGGAGATGCACAGTGCACCTGCGGACCCTGCTGCTTTAAGGCTCTGGAGAAGAATCCAATTAGCATCTGAGAAATAGAAATATTTCCCAGCGAGCTTTACTTCCACCCTCCCCCGGCAGTCTGTGTTCCTGGCAGTTTGTGCTTCGGTGGTCATCTGTATCCACGCCCTCTCCTCTTCCTTCACTCTTCTCACAGGACACAGGGATTAAATTAATTATTCAAAGTCATGAAGCGTGGGGAATTATGGCTTTCCTCTCTCTGTGGCTATTATAAACCTTGGTTCCATGTTGTTTTATGAAGATGACACGGATAAATGCATGGCCGAGTTGCGAACTTAGAACGTGTCGGTGAAACTTGCCTGGTGCCCATCCTGGGCAGGTCCTGGGTTCAGAAGAGCCAAGAGGTGACAGGGGCAGGTGTCTGTAAATGCTACCACGCATCCTGTGTCAGGTTAACACCTGTGATCTAAAAACCTAGCCATAGAGGTGCTCCTGTGCCTTGGGCGGTGCCATTATATGTAGCCCGTTCATAAAATGTATACCCTTTTCCTGTTCTCTGTGATCCTGGGCTGGGGGTGAAATGATTGGGAATGGCTCCCCTGGCATTCCTCTCCTCTTGTTATGTTTGTTAGATCAGCCTGGACACAGAGAGGAGACACACAGGTGACTTGAGACCTCAGGGGTAAAGCCAAGAACGCGTTACTCTTTGAAAGCATGACAAGCCTGCACACTCTTACAGATATGCAACCACGTGTTCCAGATACTTTGCCAATCCCAGGGATCACGGTGTGGGAGTGGGCAGTGAAATCAGTTGAGTTTCAATTCCTATTGTAAGAATGACAGGGTGGGTATGTCAGAGGTCTTACCTGGAGCCGGGACTCTTCTGATGGTGCTTGATCCCATGACAGTATGCTGGCTGATATGACTCATTGTTTTCTAAAGCTGAGATGTTGAAAGATGTCTTATTCTTTCTCAACATTCATCCTCATTATATTGTTTGTTAATTCATGGACACAATTTGCTAGGCTATTGTAACAAAGCACCACAGATTGGGTGGCTTAAATAACCAGAATCTATTTTCTGAATCTATAGTCCAGAAATGAGAAGTCTGAGGTCAGGGTGTTGGTGGTGTTTCCTGTTGAGGCTGTGGAAGAAGGGCGCCTTCCGCCCTCTTTTTTGACTTACAAGTGGCTGACCGTCCCTGTGCCTTCTCTTTCTCTTCAGTCTGTGCATGTCTGTGTCCAGATTTTCTCTTATAAGGATAGCAGTCCTATTGGATCAGGGTCCATTCCCTATTTTAACTTAGTGACCCTGTTTTAACTTCACCTCTATAAAAACCCTTTCTCCAATAAGGTCATACTTTAAGTCGTGTTAATGAAAAAACAAACAAACAAACAAACAAAACCGCACACACACACAAACAAACAAACAAAAAAACAACAACACACACACACACAAACTTATTGAAACCTGTAAAGAATTTTAGTGAGTTTATTTGAGTCAAAGTGTGGACATATGCAGGGAAGCAGAACCTCAATGACTTGAGATAATGCTCTGGAGAATGGCAGGTTACATTTGTATTTACACATTGCAATCAAAGGAGGAACATAGGTAGGTTACATGAAATTTACTGGTGATGGATTAAGGAAGTGGGATAAAGCAAAGTGGTAGGAAACCCCTGGGATTGGATAAAAATTAGAATGATGGACACATACTTAGGAGGGTACAGGAACAATTAACATGATAATGAAGGAATTTGAGGCATCTCTCCTGGTGCCAACCACATTTGGTTGTGCCCCAGGGGCTCCAGAAAAAAAGAGAAGTTACAAGCTACCCAGACATCTCACAGATATGCTATCTTAGAGGCAGGAAGGCAAATGGGCTCAGGAAAGATGTAAGTTGATCTTTGTCAAGGAAAATGTTGGCCTAGGACATGACTACCCACTATAACCTGTTTGTAGTTAAATATTTAATTTTCAGACCATCTTTTGTGGTTATTTTAGATCTCTGAGTTTGCAAGACTGCCACACAGGCCTCCCCTGAGCTTGTCGGGTTAGCATGTGGCTCCTTTTGTCCACAGTCTAGAGGTTAGGACTTCAACATATGGATGTATTGGGAGACACAGCCCACTCTGTGACAATGGGTCTCAGGTCCTGATAAAAGCTTTTGCTTTTGTAGACATGCATGAGTCTAATTGTTTAAATGCAAGCAGAGATACAGCCATTGCTTAGCTGGAACAGTGTATATGTAAAATCTGTGAAATCATTTCGCATATATCATCACATTCAACCTGTTATTTAACATAGTCACAACATAGCTAATCATGACAAAAGAGCAGCCTAAAACTGAGCCGGAACTCAAGTAGCTTAATAGCGACCTATAAATCTCCTGCCTGTGCTTATGAATAAATCACACATCGCATGTGCCACTATTCATCTCCTAGACTTGGCCATGAATAAAGGCTCACATTTCTTCCTCCATCAGCCACTTCTAGGACTTCCAATGCAGTCATTAATAATGTGCCATTTCGCACAGCACTCTATTTAAGTGGTGTGTTTCATTCATTCTTCCCCATTTGACAAATGTTTATTGAGCACTTCCTATCACCAAGACACTGTTGAATAAATACATACAGAAATGAACTTAGGAATTAAATGGCACTATATTTTGTAATGTACGCAGAGCAAGTGAAATTGTTCATCGTTAGGAAATAAAGAAAACCAGAGAAAGGGTTCTGCATGACTGGCATGCTACTGGGATATCTTTAGGGCACATTACTAACTGGATTATGTTTCCAGTGAAATTGAACACGATGTCATAAATCAGAGCAACAATAGAAAAGGGTGTGAGTGAATCTAGCTCATTAACTTGTTTACTTTTTCCAAGTCTCAAAAGATTAGACATTCGCGTCTGAGAGAAATTGATTATGTTTTTCTAGTATTTTAAGAATAAATCGCCATCCTATGATAAACCGGAACAAACATTTTTTTTCTACATCATAATTTTGATCATACTTTAACACTTGTCTGTAGCAAAACTCCCCAGATCATCCCTGATAGAGATTGTGAAAGAAATGCACAAAAATGTCAATAGTGCCAGCCTTGAAAGAAGGGAGGTTTTGTGTGTTTCTATTTGTTATTTCTCTCTTTAGTGTATTTTCAGATCTTTCAAGAATCCATTTATGTTATGAATAATTAGAAATGATAGAGAAAACTAATGAACGTTTCAGGGGAATGCAAAGATTCTAAAAAACTGGACAGAGTGATTGTAAAGAAGAGATCGGGCAAACTTGATTTCGCTGAATTTAAAATATATCATAGGCCATGGGCTGACTGGTTAATAGAAAGAGAACATGGCCTGGAGTGAAACTTCATATAGAATAAGGATAGATTCATAAATTGAAGGAAAACTGAGAAACTGATCAAGGGGGAAATTTGGTTGACTATCAGTTACAGCCAATCAAATTAGGAGTTTTACTTTTTCTCTGTACCAATAGTTGTTCTTAATGAATTCATAAGTTTATATAATTAATTAATTAATAAAGTCTTAATGGAGCTGTTTAACAAATTACATATTTATTTATGCCAGCAATTGTAAGGGCTTCTTGAACTAAAAGTGAATAGGATTGTCACAACCTTGATATGAATATTGTACTTCAGAAATGAAATTAAAACACAGGTACATGATCAGTAAACTGTACAACAAATATGGCAGGTAATAATTTTGAAAAGTCACATAGATGAATAAGAGTGACACTCAATTTTACCCTCAACAACAGGAAAATGGACAAAGAGAAGAACATACTCTTCCCTTGAAAAGGAATACAAATAACCAATAAACATGAAAAAGATTCAGCCTCACAAAGACATGCAAATTAATCTTTTTGTTTGGTTAGCACACATTTAATTATTTGAAAAAGCAAATACTCTGGTGAGAGTTGAGTAGAACTATAGTCACTATGTGAAGTGGCGCATATTGTTAAATATCCTCTGCAGATAATGTTTCAAAATCTTTATGTTGTTCTAAGAATTTTGCCTAAAAACTTACATGTAGATTTATTTGTAAGGATGTTCAACATAGGTTTATTTGTCATAGAAAAGGAAAATCCTGAATTTAGATTTCTGGACAATTTAAACTGTTTTAACGACATGGGAATGTTTATTTTTTCATGTTTTGGATTCAAATCAGGTTACTAAATTGCAAAGTTAAAAATATAATAATTGACCAAATTATGAAAAATAGATAAATGAAATGCTATTAGGATTTACAACTATATTCTTCTTTGACCTTGCACATATATGTCATTTATGTAACTCCTGGTTAAGAAGCTTGCCCCTGCTTCTCATCTTTCCATTAAGAAAGATA